ATCTTAATTTTTTTGGGACTTCACACACTTCACTTCAATTTTCATTCATCTCAAAAAAACAGGTTTCTTGAGCAAAAAACAAGTTTCTTGAGCGAAAAACAGGTTTTTTGCCAAGAAACTGGTTTCTTGCCAAGAAACTGGTTTCTTGTGCGATAAACAGGTTTCTTACCAAGAAACAGGTTTCTTGACAATAAATTGGTTTCTTCACAAGAAACGGGTTTCTTGAGCAAGACACGGTATGTTGTTTCTATCTAGGGTTAGATGATTGTCGTTAGGGTTCAAAGTTTGTGCCATGTTGTTTCTTGGGTAGAAAACTGGTTTTTTGCTCAAGAAACCCGTTTCTTTAATATAAATGTTTGTTTTGAGATCGCTAAGAGTAACTAAATTCTCTATCTAGGGTTAGATGATTGTCGTTCGGGTTCGAAATTTGCGCCATGTTGTTTCTTGTGTAGAAAACGGGTTTCTTGAGCAAGTCGCACGTTTGACGCCTTGAAATCCCAGATATGACCTAATGCAAGTTGCACTAAAAGAGTACTCTTTATCTTGCCTCGGGTCGATTATCGTGCTGAACTCGTTATCTAGTAGCACGTTTGACGCCTTGAAATCCCATATATGACCTAATGCATTATTTAAACAAATGACAAAAACGAAAATGACATTCCAAGTTCAGACAAGGATCCATAAAAAAATAAATCAAAAAAAAAAATAATAATAATAAATAATGAAAAAGGTAAACACCTGAATCTCTAAGTCTTGTGCAGATATGCTAAATTTTCACATGAATTAAATTTTCAAAAATAATTATAATAATAAACTTAAAAAAAAACAATGAACGAGCAATTGAGCGGAAAATAACTTCAACTTATTTATTCCTATCTAGCTCGGTCCGGGTCTTGATCTTTCTCTGGGTTGCCGGGTCCACCTGTTCCCCTCGATCCAGGGATGGTGTGGGCCCATTATTCTTGTGCCATTTTTCTAGATTGGTCTGTTTTTGGCCATTTTCTAGATCATCTCTTGAACCACATAGCATCCTGAAATCCTGCATCACTAGGGCTCAGTTCAACATAGTGTGTGCTTGACAAAGTCGTGAGTTCAACATCAATTGTTCTACTCCCAGCCTGGTAAACAAAAGATTTAAGTTGTGCTCAAGTTAGAACTTCAAATGATCAAACAACTCAACAAACATGTGGTTCTAAAAAGACATTAACCAACAATTATGTCATATGAAGATTGCAAGCAGAGAACTCACACCAACTTTTCAATTCTTATTTTCTATTTTCACCTGCAAAGTAATATTTATAGAGCCACATCAGAACAACCTCATTCAGTTTATGAACTCCAAATCCAAACTTATATTTCTCACTCACCATCAATGAAATTGAAGATTGATTCAAATTTCTTATACATAGTTTATTTTATTTTTTATTTTTTTCATTTACTCCGTTCTTCCCTTTTCATTTTAGATCCAATGGATAGCTATACAATGCATTAGTTGATATGGGAGCTAAATACATCAAATAATATCCGAATTTCCATTGAACTTATAAAATTAGTAGTAAAGATCATCTTTTTATGTCTTTGCTTTTTGCAGACAAGCTGTAAACAAATGTTTCAGCTGTAACACCTTACTCGACAATTCACGGAAAGTTTGTCTACCCCCACATTACAAACTATCAAACAAAATTAAAACAAAAAATGAATAAAATTGAAATCAGAAGTTAGTAGCAATCTCTCACCTTTTCGGACTAAAAATTGCCTAAGACGGGCCATTATTAGGGTTTTCTTACCCGAGCCAGACGGCCCGTAGAATAGCAAATGTGGACAATCTTACTCCGTCACCTACACAACACAACGCCAAAACAAAATCAAAGAACAATAACAAAAGATATTTCAAATCCCTTCACCTCAAACCATAGAAATAAGCGTTTGAATCGATTTGACGGTAGAAAATTGTCTAGGATTTTGGGACAAAACTACTATTTCTTCTTCTTTTCCTTCGTCGTCGTCGAACTTCCTTGTGAAGTTGCCGGAGAAGCGGGTCGCACGGGATTTTTTTTAGGCAGACGAAAGTTTTTTTTTTTCATTTTCAGACGGGAGTGAGAACTTAGAAATTGGGGGAAATAAATTGATATGTGAATTGGAAATATTGAGTTGGAGGAAAATTAATAAGGGTAAAATTGACATTTTATCCCTTAAAATGGCTAGTTTTCATCTTTCTCCTAAATATGGCTACATTTCATTTTTTGTTTCAAAAAAAGGCTAAAAAAACGAGGCTCTGAAACATAAATGTATCATAGTACTTAAATCCACTTAATAAATAAATAATTCAAAAATATATATAAGTGCGATAAAATATAGCATATAAAGATACGCTAATAAATATATAAATGACGCACTTTTTCCGACCAATCAAGCATACAAACGTATTATTTGATAGTCGATAATACTTAATGGATAACAATTTGTATTAGACTAGTGTTTTAACAATGTTGCTATAAAACTAACTGGTTGGTTCTCTTATGAAACCAACACCCACATGAGCCTATAAGAGAACCTACCAATTGATTTTATAGCAACATTGAGTGTTTCAATTAGAAATAGTTGTTTTTTTTTTTTGCAAAAATCGAGCAAAATGCATAGAAAAATTAAACGAATATCGAAAAATCAAGTCCGACTATGCAATTAACTGTAATTTAATTATTTTCATGTAGAAAATTTTCAATTTTTTTATTGCAGACTCAATTTGAAAAATGCACTATTTTGATTTGCATGAGTTTCAGTTTCACCCTTAAAATTTTAAGATTTACCACTCTTTCTAATAAAAAGCTAAATATAGTTTTTTTTTTTTTTTTTT